GCTCATAAATTAGAATGTACAAAAATAATGACATACTTGGTGAAAGGGCTCGAAATGAAGAAGAAAATCGACGAGAGAAGAACATGTGCGAGGAAGATCGTCAGCAGAGCTCTCTCCGATCATTCGCTTTAGGGTTTCTGGAACCAGAGATTTCAGCTTCTCCATGAGCGCGCTTTTGAGCTACGCCTTGGGCTTGGAACTTCGTACAACGGCTATATGCTTTGCTACCCGCTCTGCTACTCTGTTTTATGCGCGGTGGTGAGAGTTCGTTTCTTTTTCCTTTTTCTTTCTTTTTTGGGTAAGGAAGGCTGTGAGTGTTAAAATAAAAACAATATATATATTCTATCCCAAATGTTTTATCTTTTTTAAGAATTTTCTATACCAAAATTATTAAAAATAAATGTATCAAAGGCAAAATTGATTTATAAAACTTGTCCGAGGTTCAATAGAATTTACCCATGTTCAAAATTCATTTCCCACCAGTGCGTTTTTGACAAGTTATTTCTTCTTGTGTGAAAATGTTAGGAAGATGTTTGCTTTTTGGAACTTCTTCTGTTGGATGATGTTATACGAATCTACCAATACTACAAATATATCTCAAAATAAAATTTCGTATCACTTCAAATTCCCATCCATCAGTACAAACTGTATAGGAAAAGAATAATGTTCCTTCTAACATTTTTACAAAAACTTGAGCCTCTGTGATAATTAGATGCTGGCAAAATCCACACTACAGAATGCTCCTTTTGGGGATTCTATCTCATAAGAATGGTATTCGTTTCTTTTTTTGGGTCGACGTGTGATTGTACTTCTGATAAAATAAACAGATTATCCATCCATTTTTACAAAAACTTGAGCCTCTGGGGTAATTAGATGCTGGCAAAATCCACACTACAGAATGCTCTTTTTGGGGATTGATCTTGATGAAGGCAACAAACAAACACAATGCTTCATCTAAGCCCAAACTCTTTTTCTGGGCACAAGATCTGATGTTTTTATATCATCTATTTTGGCAGCTACAATGAAATCATTCATGCTCAATCCTCCTGCAATGAAGTTTCAAGTTAGCAATGTGCAAATGGTATGGCAAGTAGCCCAATGAAAAGTTTCTACAAGTTTGCAAGAAGTTTACCAATGGAAGATGTCCATAGCTCTGCTCTAACTTGATTGGGTTGCTCCAAGTGAAGATTTGGGAAATGCCCTGCAGCTTCCGCAACCTTATAAATCCTGTTGATGAGCTCAACCCCACATTTATAATCTCTCAATTTCCAAAGACACTGTAATTTGAGCTCACCTTCTCCAACTATCAATCTCCACCCAACAACCTAGAGAAGCAAGGCATAAATGAGTTCCAATTTGCTTGCATAAAATCAAAACTATCCAATTTTTGGAAACAAAACAAAATCACAGCTTCAGACCTCAATTCTAGAACACACAACCCACAAAAGTCCTTAACTTTACAAACAGAACCCAAAAGGGTAATCTTCTTCAGGATATGAAAATTGGGCAAAGCTAAGCTAAGCAAAGACTGAGACTTTACACAGTAATTTCATCAAACACCATAGAAGCATCATACAAATCGAGGATATCAATGAAGAATTGACCTTTCTGAGGAGCTTCTGGGCATCGTCTTCAGGCATAGGAGGCTGGAGAGGAGAGACAGGGCTGCAGTCTAGCTGGGACAGAGAGAGAGAAGAGAGATTGGGGATGAGAATCTTGTGCTCTGTGTTGCCGCTGCCCAACACCTTCTCACCAAACCCACTTGCTATCTCAGCTGGGAAGGGGTCTCTGGCGCCAAAATCGCCCAGCATGTCATTGCCCAGAGCCTGAGTTCGCAGGCCGAGTCGAAGCCGAGTTGGAACGGTGATGAGGTTAGGGTGAAGGTGGAGGTGGTGGTGGTGGTGATGTGGAAGAGAGAGAAGGGGTATGGAAAGGTTTGCGGTGGCCATGGAGAGGAGGAGGAGGATGGATTGGTTTCCTTCCTTGAGGGCCTTCTTCTTCGGATTGCAGGAGAGAGCGGGTTTGGCTATCAGTGGCCACTCAGCTATTAGTTCCTCGGTTTCCTTTTTCTTTTTTAAAAAACAAACAATTATTTTATTTTTGTATATTTTGATCTAATTTTCGACATAGTTAATTACTTTAAAATGTAATTCATATTATTACACTTGAAAATTTTGGTGAGTATATATTATTATGTGCCACATGATCCATAATAAGAAAAAGAAAAAAACGTATAGCCGTGCGGCTATACTGATTCTGACACGTCCCGTGCAGCCGGCCAGCTGTACTCGGTTTTTTAATTTTTCTAAACTAGTATGGCCGCCCGGCTTGACTCGGTTTTGTTTTTTATTTATAAAAATAGTATCGCCGGGAGACTGTACTCCTTTTTTTAATTTTTTTAAAAAATAGTATAGCCGCGCCTATTCGCTAGGGGGTCTTTTTTTTAATTTGTATAAATTTAAATTGTATAGTCGGTCCGCTATACTCGATTTTTAAAATTTTTTTAAACATAGTATAGCCACTCGGCTATACCCCATTTTTCTTTTTAAAATAAAAATAATATAGCCAGGCGGCTATAGATTTTGACACGTGGCCACCTATTCGCTGCTGGGTTTTTTTATTTTTATAAATAGTTAGCCGCGCGGCTGTACTCGATTTAAAAAAAAAAATTAAATCATATACCGCGCGGCGGTATTTTTTTTATTTATTTTAAATAATAGGATAGCCGTGTGGCTATACTTATTTTGACACAAGGGCTCTTTTTTTTCTTTTAAATTTTTTCCCTAATTTTCCTTTATAGATAAGAGTAGTTTAGGGCATTATCTATTACTATTAGGTCATTATCCAAGTCTCTATTGATTTACTGTAAAATTTCCACAGAAAAAAAAAAGATGTAAAAATTGAACTCTCAGATTGATTTGTTGTAAAATTTCTCTCTCTTCAATATCTACTTTGGATATGTTGAATTTAGCAAATTAATCAATATATATATCTATATATATAAAGCAAAAGGCAGAGAATGGGGAAACATTCAAAATACCAAAAAATGCCCTTAGTTAATGCAAACATTAAGAATTGAAATTATTAATTAAATGAGGATAATATGGTAAATTCGCACCTTTTCATATTTAAAAAATATATAATTAAAAAAAATCAGATAATGGCCTATTTTTATGGAACACAACTAGCCATTATCTTTTTTAATTCTAAATAAATTTTTTTTATTTTTAAAAAAGCCTCTTGCAAGCGCGGAAGCGCGTGCAGAGAGGCTAGGATATATAAAGCAAAAGGCAGAGAATGGGGAAACATTCAAAATACCAAAAAATGCCCTTAGTTAATGCAAACATTAAGAATTGAAATTATTAATTAAATGAGGATAATATGGTAAATTCGCACCTTTTCATATTTAAAAAATATATAATTAAAAAAAATCAGATAATGGCCTATTTTTATGGAACACAACTAGCCATTATCTTTTTTAATTCTAAATAAATTTTTTTTATTTTTAAAAAAGCCTCTTGCAAGCGCGGAAGCGCGTGCAGAGAGGCTAGGATATATAAAGCAAAAGGCAGAGAATGGTGAAACATTCAAAATACCAAAAAATGCCCTTAGTTAATGCAAACATTAAGAATTGAAATTATTAATTAAATGAGTATAATATGGTAAATTCACACTTTTTCATATTTAAAAAAAATTAAAATTAAAAGAAAATTAAAAGAAAATTCAGATAATGGCCTATTTTTATGGAACACAACTACCCATTATCTTTTTTAATTCTAAAATAAAATATTTTTTTTTTTAAAAAAAAAGCCTCTCGCAGGCGCGGAAGCGCGTGCGGAGAGGCTAGTATCTATAAAGTATAAACTAATGCAACTTGGAGGTTGCTTGTCAATTTTTTTATTAAATAGTATAGCCGTATGGCTATACCTTTTAAATATAATGTATTTAAAGAGTATAGCCGTGCAGCTGCACTTTGGGTTTCTTTCTTTTTTTAAAAAAAATTTATAAATAGTATACTCACTTAAGCTCCAAGCTTCTTCCGGTATGACAAGCAAGGGCACAAATTCTCAAAACCGACCCTGCCTGCCACACTTGAAGTTGTGAAGGAATCGTTTTCTACAAGCTTGAATTTGGTTAATGGTATGCCGAACGTTGATCAAATTAGTAAGCTTGAGAGTGACGTGGGGGCAAACACACTCAAAATGCATTTAGGCAGGCTTTATGTCCCATAAAAACTTGCTTTCACTCTCATTAAGAAGAAGGTTGTTCTCCTCCTTGCACTGGCTATGGCGCGTGTCCCCCTTCACCATCAAAGCCTCCGCCACCACCACCACCAAGCACCACCACAATAACCATATATCGCAACCACCTGCTCTCACATAATTTATTCTTTTCTTTTTCCTTCTTAATAATTTGTTATGCTTTAATTTCTAGCATTAGTAATATTATAACTCATGTACATACACACCACCCTTTTTATAGATTGAGAAGATATGGTTTACCAACTTTGATATTTTCCGTCATCCCATATATGCCCTTCATGTACGTATTTGCTACTACTGGGACTGGTTCAACCTTGACTTGAGAGGACTTGGACTGTAGGGTCAATTCCTTGACCAATTCGATATATATGAATAATACCAAAATAAAAAATAAAAATTTTAGTCCAGGCAACAAAGTCCTTGAAAATTATTCCAATAAAATGAGAAAACTAAAGAAAATTATTTCAATTCTCTAAGTGCAATCATAGGTTTGGCTTCATTAAAGATTGGTCAAGAACTTCTAATTTCGGCCATTGGATTGCATGTATGGTATATATTAAAAATTTATTTAGCTACTAACATACCTAATGGATGGCTGATATTAGAGCTTCATAACTAATGATTAACAAAACATAAATTTCCTTGAATAGATAGACGGTTGAGATTGAACAATTGTGTCAATATTGGAATATATAGGAGACATCTTATAATTCACTTTTATTTGAGGAAAGTCATACATGTATTACATAAGTGCACATGAATTGTGCACTTCAAATTTATGTAACTCTTAGCTTGAAAGAAAGCTAATTAAGATGACTCTTTATTTGATAATCAAGCATAATAATGTATTCTTGTAGCTAGAAATAATATTCGTCCTTCTTCTCATGGTGGAGTGGTGATACCTGGAAAAAATAAGATTAACCAAAGTAATCAGATCAGCTACACACAAATAAAGCAATTACTCTATATATATATATTTAATTAGTGCTGATGATCTTGTTTTGTCAACATTAATCAATTCATGTTAAAGATTAATTAGGTCATCATCTCATAGAGCAAGATATGATAGAAGAGGGAGGAGATGAACTACTCACTGCCGCACTTGAAGTTGCGAGGGACGCTTCTTCCACAGCCTTCAATCTGCTTAATCGTACGGCCGAGAGGGATCAGATTGGCCACCTTGGGGGTGACATAAGGGCACGCACACTCGAAATGTGTCACCCTGACACGTTGGCAGCAGTTTGCAGAGGGTTTGAGCCCTATTATCACTGCGCTCTTGCATGCACTCACCAGAAGGTCCGTCTCCTGCTTGCATTGGCTCGGCGTCGTGTTCCCTTCTGCCATTTGAACCACCTCAACCAAAACACCTACGACCAAGAACAAGCATAGAGCCACACCCAATGAGCCTACAACCTTCATGATTTGTTTTTTGTTTTTTTTCTTCTTCTTTTCTTTGTGGCTTTTTGTGTGGCAAAACTACCCCGTTTTATAGATTGTGAAGAGGGTTAAATTTAGAAGAAACCCTACTTTGATATTTTCCACAACCACAGCCCTCCCCTTGGACTAGGTGTTAGGTACTAGGAAGCTTTCAGCATTGAAGTTTTGAAGGGCACCAGTCAATGGTCAACAAGTCTATATTCTCTTGAGGAAGAGATTTCTGTGCACATTCTAGATAATGTCACAACTTGTAAAATACTATACTACCAACGGTTCGTGCACTTGCGAGTATCACAAGTTGAGGATGCAGCTTAATCCATTTTGGTGGAGCTAAATCTACGCAACAAGATTTCTGTGCACATTCTAGATAATGTCACAACTTGTAAAATAATGTGAACATTTTCATCTTATATATAAAATTTTCAGGGCTATAAAGTCAAATCATAAACGGAAAGTTTCACAGCAAATGTGGAAATTTGATAGGAGAAACACTTTGTAGAAGGTTTCTTGTATATATCATAACACACAGTTTACAAAGACTTAAACATATATATACACAAGGAAAGAAGAAACAGGCTTCAATCTCTCATTGAATGTGAGAGTCTGTTTTCTTCATTATTGATTATAAAAATAAATAAATAAATTCTATTATAAATGTAGTTATCTTGATAAGATAGAATTATATATGTATAGTTGTTTTACGTTTTATAATACCATTTCAATATTTACATGTATGTTATTCCATTAAATCTTTATATATAATTAACTAGCTCTTAAGTGGATGTGTTGTTTCGCTTTATTAAGTTACTTTTTCCTTGTCAACAAACCATGACTTGGAATTAGCATGTGGAGCTTTCACATGCATTCTTAGCAATAGAATTTTGGTGAAGCAACACGTAGGAATTCATCTTAACTTGAGGTGGCTTGTCTATATTGATTCTTTTGACACATGCACACATACAAGCACTTAATTATTAAATATAGTAGATATTTATGATACTTGGAGGATAAGTAGATTCTATTCTTGGAGAATAAGTATGCATGTTCTCTTCTAGTATAAATAGGTCACTCCGTTGCTTCTTATTTGAAAACACAAACACTTGGTATTTGAGGTTGCACACAACGCATGCAAAGTAATAGTTCTTGAGAGGGACGGAGAAAGAGAGGAAGAAGGTAAAGGAAGAAAGAAGGCTAGTAGGGATAGAATTTCTGGAGGAGTTAGAGGTCCTAACTTGTGTGTTTTCTTAACTTGGAATTAGCTTTGAAAACGAGGTAGGGGTTTTCTT